CCCACCCCCCCAACCACCCCCCCACCACCCCCCAACCACCTCCCCCCAAGCCAGGTTGGGGGAGCAATGGCACTTCCTTGCCCGCCCGGCCTCCGCCCACCCCCCCAACATGGCCCCCCTGTCCCCCCCCCTTCCTTCCACCGCACCGCGGCCGCGTATAAAGATTATTAGTGCGCTCGTGAACACAATATACTTTGTATCTGTTCCCGCGAGCGATTTTAAAGACTTATTATGTTGCTCGCGAATGAAGTAAAATATGTGTTCTTGTTCACTCGCGGCATTATCAAATAAACTCGTGAGCCGCGATAGTATAATAAATAAAGTGTAATAGCAGGCGAACAGAGAATATTAATAGGCCGCGTGGAAAAAGAGAACAAAATAATAACAAAATATGCGGGCGTTTGTCTTTCTTTTAGTTCGCCCGCACACAACATTCATGCGTTTCACGCGCGCACTCATTGCATTCGTTTACTCCCTCACGAATTTATCAATCTTCATGATCTTCATCGATTAAATTGGAAAAATCTAGTTCTCCAATTATCATTCGATCTGAAAATAGATATATATATATATACAGAAGATTGATCGTCGTAGATATCGTTCGTATTAATCTTTTTTATTCATTTTGATAGAAATTTACTAAGAATCATGAGTGACGTAGGCATTTTTGAAAAAAGATTCTTTCGATTGAGATTTCGATCGGGATTATTCCTCATCTTTTCTGAAACAGATGAATACTTTTCGATCGGCAGAAAAAATGAAGAACCATGATCTTCGATTGGGAAGATCTTATTTGGTCAGTTGCCAGAAAATCTTGGAATACCTTAGCCCATCATCCCCTCAACTACCCCAAACCCTGAACCCCAAACCCTACACTAAAAACTTAAACCCCCGGCCTCAACTCGAGAGCTCAAGAGAACTGCGTCCGTGGTAAGAGCAGCTGGGCAACTAGGCCTAGGACTGACGGGTTGGTCCAGGGTTGGACTTTTTTGGGGTTCTTTGGGCTTGTAGGGTTTATGGGTTTATATGTTTGTGAATGTATGGTTTCTAGGGCATATAGTGTTTAAGGCTAAGAATTTAGAAGAGTTGACAAAGGGTTGAGAAAGTGCTTATAAGGACCTTGTAAGGAAGGGCGCATATGTGGGTTGGTCAGGGTTGATACGGGCTTAGAAGGACTCAGAAGGGTTGATAAGGATTTAGAATGGTTCGGGGTTGAAAAAAAGGTCAAGGGTGTAGAGGGTTCAGGGTGTAATTAGAACACAGGGTGCTTAAAGGTTTAGACGGGCTTATGAGGGTTTTGAATTGGGCTGTAGGGGTTTTCGCGTTTTAGGGCTTAAGGGTTTCCAGAGCTTGTAGGGTTTAGGGGCTTAGGGTGTTAGGGTTTAAGGGTTGAAGTGCTCTGGGCGCAGGGTCTTAGGGTTAAGGCTTTGCGGAGTGTTTTGGGGTTGAGGCTCGGTGTGGGTGGTTCGGGGTGTAGGTAAGGCCTCGATATTTGAGGTTGAGACTGGAGCCCCTGATCCAGAAAAGAAAACCGAGCCCCAAACCTAAAACAACTCTGAGACCATTCAATATCCATAACACCCTGAAGCCCTGAGACCCTTGTCCTGCAGCCTATAACCTTAACCCTTATAAACCCTAACCCCAAAACCCTATCCTCAACCCTGAGACCCCTAAAGCCCTCAAGGACCATAACCCGCTGAAGGGAAACAAGTCGGCAGCCAAGAGGCCGCATCGGCGGAGCCTTGGCGCCAGATTTTGTTTTTTTTGGGGTGGTCTTGATTGCAGGGCTTAGGGATCTAGGGTTTAGGGTTTAGGGCAAATTAGGGCTTATGGATTTCGGGTTTTGAGCCTAGGTTCAGGGCTTTTTAAAAGGTTATGGTTAAGGGTTCGAGGCCTAGGAGACGGTAACGTTGAGGGTTTAGGTTTGGAATGCAGCGTTTGGTGTTCAGAGCCTGGGATAGCACAGGGTTCCTGTCATACTACGGAGATCCTCAGAACTAGGGCCGGTAGGCAAAAGGACCATCTATAGTCCCGAAAATCCCCCTGCATGTTGCATTCTGAAGCCTGCAGTGCGGCGACAGCACTGATGAAGAAGCCAGGTTACGAGATCCAGGAGCTCAGCCCACAGATGAGACCAGGGAACCTTGAACCCTCAGGATAGGAGTTCATTGTAAACCTTACAGGGAACCTTGAGCCCTCAGGATAGGAGTTCATTTAAACCTTAATTAACTTTTTAACATCAAAACTGTCAGAAGCTGCACGCCGAGCCGCGACGCCCCGATCGCGTAGCGTGGCACTTCGCCTGAGAGGTCGGCCTGGTGGAGCGCAGCGGGGGTTTTAAGGGTTTAGGGTTTAGGGTTTAAGGGTTTAGGGGCTTTTGGTTTGTGTTCATTGTTTTGGGTTTGTGTTTGGCTTTCAGAAATGTTTTAGGGATTGCTTCGAGGGTTCTTGGAGGGATGTGGGGGGTGGGGCGGGTGAGTGATGAGCTTCTGGGGAGTTTAGTACCCTAAGCCTTCCAACCTTCACAAAGCCTGTATGGCCCCTGGTAGACCTTGATAAGCCCTTATACGCCGTGAAGAACAAGGCACCTCATGAGCTCTTCTTATACCCCTTTACAAATCCTAAGCTCTGAAGCCCCAAAACCGCTCTAAACCATACACAAATCTTTGGAAACACCCTATAAACATTTAAAACCCGAAGACCCAACGCGACAACATTTAAAACCCTAAGACCCGAAACCCTCCACACACCCCGAAAACCCGAAACCCCCTAAACCTTGAACCCGTGAACCCTAAAGCTCCCAACCCAGAAACCCTAAACCCTAAACCCTAAACCCTAAACCCTAAACCCTAAACCCACCTCTGCCTTTACAATGATTTCATCCTCCTGGCTCACAGCCACAGGCTCCAGCACCTCGGGGGGAAAAAGGCAGCACATAGGTCCAGGAGGACGTGAAGGGGGTTGTCAAGAAGGGCTCAGGAGGGCTTATAACGGATTTGTAGGCCTTAGGGCTTAGAAGGGTGCGATCGGACGCTGGGGATACCCTGGACCCTGAAACCCTGAACCCTTGGACTAAACCCACCGATGAATAGACTTGACGGGGGAGGGCAGAAGCTCAGAAGAAACCTGCGCCAAAATGAAGTTAAGACTGGGCTCAAGCCTTTCGGGCTTCAGGGTTTAGCGCTTCGGGTCTAGGGGCTCAGGGCTTTGAGTTCAGGCTTTAGGGGGTTCAAGCCCGAGACCTCTCAGTCTCTGAGCATCTGGCACGACAGAAGGGGTTGGCCCAGTGGCTTTCCGACGGAGCGGAGCTCACGACATCCTCGGACGCAGGTTCCCAGCTCATAAGGTTTAGGGCTTAGGATGGTTTAGGGTGGGCTTGAAAGGGGAACCCGGGAGAATCGTCGTCGGCTTCACTCATGATTAGTTCTCCAAATGAGAGTCCCCTTTTGGGCGTGCTCTCTACACCAAAAACGGGTTATGGACCCCTAAAAGAGATAGTGGAGAGAACTGACCAGGTAGATTCTAAACAGAAGCCGATTCTCCGGCGACACACTAGGAAAGGTTCTGCAACAAATTCAAGCCAACTAGAAACGGGCTTCGCAATGATGAGGAGTACTCCTTCTGCGCCCTCGAAACCGTGAGCCTTCTGCAGTTCAAGGTTGAAACTTTGAGGCCTGGGTTCAGCAAGAAGATTGCAACCAGAACCTTAGGCTAGACACAATACCCGCCAGTTGTCCTGTTCCACAAATGGGCAGGCTAGACTCCAGGATTTTGAAGCTGAAACTCCGTTGGGTCTGAGGTAGAGGGTCTTGCAAGCCTGAGGCCCTAAACCCGAAAAAAACCTCAGAGCCCCAAGCCTCGACCCTAAATCCTAATTACAAACCTACACCCTGAACCCTGAACCCTAAACTCTTCTCTCTCTCGCTCTCTCTCTCTCTCTCTCTCTCTCTCTCTCTGGAGACAGAGGACATTGCATTAGGAGTGAAGCAACTCGATCTCTGGGCTCTTGAAAGGGCCTTTGTTTAGCTTCGGGCGCTGCAGGACTTCCAACTTACAACTCCTAGTTAAACCCTATAAGCCCGAAGACCTTACGGCCTTTCGGGTTGCTAAACCCCATAACCCCGCGGGCTTAGGGCCTTTGCGTTTCGGGTTTAGGCTCGCGCTGCTGCTGAAAACCCAACCGACGAGCATCGGCGCCGCCACCGCACTCGACGGTGATGTAGAAGACGAAGCCAGCGAGGATGCCTTCTGTGTCACGTAACGTGCTTTTTTTACGTTTACGAGTACCATGATTCTGATTACAAGCGCAATGACTATGAGTATTGCTACAATATGATTACTATTGTTGCTACTGGTAGTATGATTCTCTTTAGGCATCTGGCACTCCCATCCCTTCGACCACAGGATTTTCTTAGCTGAATCAGAGCTCACTTACCTTCCCTTCAGAATTTCACACAATTTCTCTGCATCCCCAAGTTGCACAGGGGCTTGGGCTTAGGATGCAGGATTGAGTCGAGAGATCGCACGGCAGTCCACCAAGCCGATGCCTAACACAACAATGCACAAACTACCCGACTTAACCTTCAGAACAACCCTAAAACCCTGAAGATCTGCAGCTGTCCTGCTCTGGCCACGGGAAAGCGCAGTGACCGCCGCTGCTTCAGTTCTGGCTCGGCGTCCTTTCGAAAGCGGACTGCTTGGCTACAGCCTTCGGAGTTCGGATTTTAGGGTTCAAGCATCCACCCACAGGCCACTCGGCCACCCCTCTACCCCACAAACAGGACTTCGACAATGGCTCTCGCAAGCCCGCGTGAAAACCCTGAACCTAGCAAGCTTAATGCCCCAAAGCCATGGGCTCTAAAGCATCCCTACAAGACCTTACCCCTCTTAACCCTAACCCCCCCCCCCCCCCAAACCTCTAACACAGACAACTACAAAACAACGAAGCCCGTCTTGTGGTGACTTGAAGTGCAGCAAGTTGCCAGCGGCTCAGGTGTCTCAAGTGTCTTCACATTTTTAGGGATGTGTCCTAAACCCCAACCCTAAGTAAAGCCCTCAAAGCCCTCGTTCTGAAAGCCCCTGAAGCCCTGAGCTGTTTGGGGTTTGGGGTATTTTGTCAAAAGGCGGCCTCCCGCCAAGACAGCTCTTCAAAGACCTGCGGGGTGCTCAGCTGGCAACTTTGCACCTCACGGAGATGTCGGCTTTCGCGTTTATGGGTAGATGGTCTAAATTCGGGTCCCTTGTTGGGTCACCAGAATAGTACGGCCCTTAGAATTACAAAAAGGACCCCCTCGAAAGGGAATTTGGAGTGTAGGGCCTTCAGGGGCTTAAGCGCTCAAGGCTTCGATCGCAGGGTTTAGGGTCCAGCGTCTGGGGTGTTTAGGCTTGTGAGGGCTTAGGCTTGCAAGTTCTGAAGGGTGGCTTTCAAAGCTAAGCCCTAAGCCCCAAAACCCTGTCCACTAAACCCCTAAACCCTATCCACTAAAACCCTACTGAACTCTGATTCAAACTCCTGCTGCCGGGGCACCGGGAGCTGCGGTAGCCGCCAGAAGCGCTCATCAGGTCCTGGTGCCTGCGGCTGGTTTAGGGCCGGTAGGTTGCCTGGGATTTGCAGGGTTTGTAGGGCTTATTTGGGTGGATAGATTTTGTGAGGCTTGTTTATGGGGTTTCCGGGGTTTGGGGCTTATTATATGGCTTTTCTCTTCAACCCCACAACCCCTCCATTACACAAGGAACCTTTACGAGCCTAAATTTCAAGGTGGCCCCCAATCCCTGGAAGGGGGGGTTTCGGCTCCTGAACCCCTGAATGCCCAACAGTGCAGCTGGGGTCCTGGCCAGGAGCAGCGTGCCGCTTTGCTCGCGGTAGGCCGTGAAGTACCTTCCAGCAACAGCAGTCGTTGCGGGGAGCAACCTCCCAAAGTCAAAACCCACTAAAGCCAACTGTAATTGGCCTGTACCCTGAACCTGAAACGCCGAACTGGAAAAACAAGCTAGAATGTGGATAAAGGTTTGAAAAGACCACCGTAAAGCCCTCTAAGCGACCGAACACAATCGCCTCCTGGCGGCTCGCTGCTGGGCATCGTGGCCGGAGCGATCCATGTGGCCGCCCGGGCAGGGATGGACCAGGCGCCTCTCCGTGGATCTTGGGCTCAGGCTTTTAGGCTTCGTGTTCTTGCGGAGGCGCCCTCTGTGGGTGTTGGGTTTGATTTGCACCGAAGGGGTCTTCGGGGCGGCTTTTGGCGGCTTTGGGGGGGGGGGGGGGGGGGGGGGGGGGGGGGGGGGGGGGGGGGGGGGGGGGGGGGGGGGGGGGGGGGGGCGATGTGGAGGCTGGAGGTAGCCCCCTGGATCCCCCAAAGTTCCCCCAAAGTTCACAGGGTTTGAAAGAGGCCGTGGGCTGCTGCCTTCAGCCGCACGCAGATGCCTCCTCCGGGCGTCGCGGAGCGATGGTACCACACCTCGACGGTTTGGGGGGTGATAGGGCTTAATGGCTTAATGTTTAGGTTAAGGGTTGAGGGCCCCTTGGCCTTAACCCTGATATGTTGGGGTCGCTCCAAGTCATGTGCCTTGTCTGGGTACTTGATACCCAGAACAAGGATGGCCTCTAAACCCCGCTGACGAATATTCGTGAATATGATCCTCTTGAACCCAATAAGGGAAATACATATGAAGTATCCCAAGAGCCTACCTAGAGAACAAGGCCCGCTTAAATTAGGGCCCGTCAGGTAGATTTTTCTTAGGTTCTAGAAAGGTCGGACGATTTCCAAGCTTCACTCGCAATGCCATTCTGGAAACAAGCTCTAAGAAGTTCTAAGCTCTACAGGCCCCAAGCCACGAAAAAACCTGAGGATACTCAAACAATGCTGAACCCTAAAGACCCGTGAGCCCTAAACCCCAAACCCAGACCGTCAGCCCTCCAACCCCGAACCCAAAACGCGAAAACCTGCATATCGTAAACTGCACAACCTCCCCCTCAGAAAGGTCTCCCACCCTCGCGGCTGGCGATCTCTCCCAGGATCTCATGCACCACGACATCCACGCGCTCTGGGAGCTGCAGCTCCTGTAGAGGAGGAGTTCGGGTTTGGCGGGGGGGGGGTTGCGTTAGGGTTTCGGATCACAGGGTTTAAGTTTTCGGGGTTTGTAAGGGCTTCGACTGGCTCGTGGTCTGGGCCCTTAAAGGCCTAGACTTTATGCCCTATCAGCCTTTCAGTGTCCCCCCCGCCCCCCCCCTGTCTCTTCGTCAAGCCCCAATGTCTGCAGTCCCCCTGAGCCGGTGGCCCTGGCATCTTAAACCTGCGGTTTCGGGTTTGGGGTTTATTTTCATATGGGGGTATATCGGGTTTAGGGCTTCGGCCAATCTCGAGCCGGAAGCCACCCAGAATTTCCGAGATAACCTTTTCCTTCCGGGTGGGAGGGGGGGGGGACCAACTGTCAGGAGCCCCACCTTGGAGTCGCCCACCAGGACCTGTATTCTGTGGGAGAGACCGGCCGCCTCCTCGGTCTGGACTCAGGTTGTGAGAGGACTGGTTAGGGTTGGGGTTTTGGGGCTTCTATGGTTTATATAGGGGTTCAAGGCTCATAGGGTTCCTGGCTTATGGTTTTACAGGGTGTTTAGGCTTCTATAAACCCTGATCTCGAGGGGGAACTCGTGCCCTCGGCTGTTCCTGTGCTGAGTCGCCGGCAATCCTTTCCGCGGCTCGTGCGGCGGAGCTCTCTGAGATCTCCACCTTCTTGGGTTCATAGGGAGGATCACAGGATTCTAGGGTTTTTGGAGTCGCAGGATGGTTCAAGGCGTTGGGCGTTTAAGGTTTAAAAACAGGGTTTTGTCTTGTAAGTCCTGCAACCCGGAACATACTCCGACAACGCTGTGATCCTGGAGCCCTATAGAAGCCTGAATCTTCTCTAGCCCTAAGCCCAACAACCCGCCAACCCATATATATATATATATATATATCTCTATCTAGCTCTCTATCTCTCTATCTCTCTATCTCTCTATCTCTCTATCTCTCTATCTCTCTATCTCTATCTCTCTATCTCTCTATCTCTCTATCTCTCTATCTCTCTATCTCTCTATCTCTCTATCTCTCTATCTATCTATCTATCTATCTATCTATCTATCTATACATATATACATATACACATATATACATATATACATACGTATATATATATATATATTATACCCTAAACCCTGAAACCCCCAAACCACACAAGCACTAAACCCTCAAAGCAAACCCCTCGCAGGGCCGAGCGGCTGCGTAGACGCGCCGCGCCCCGGCCTCTTTCAGCTCGGAGCTTGAGACGTGCTTTGGGGCGTCAGACGAGCTGTTGGGAGATGGTTTAGGGGTTTAGGGCTTTAACCTTGGTTTAGGGTTTTTAGTGTTTAGGGAGGCTCTTTTAGGGCTTTAGGGTTACTGAAAGTTTGGGGTTTAGCTCTTGGGTGTTGAGGCTCAAACTTTTGGAGGCTTTGGGGTGGTCTTGGAAGGTTTGGGTTCATGGAGGGTGTGGGGCTTTAGGGGCACTTAGGGTTTCAAAAGGATGAAAGGACGGATAAGATGATAAGAGTTCGTGGGAGGTTTAAAGCGACCTTTCTTAACCAGGGTTCAAGCTTGGGGTTGGCAACCCTAAACCCTAAGCCCTAAACCCCATGGGGTTTAGGGCTCATAAAACTCCAGGGCCACAAGCAGGATGGCGGTGGCCTCAGGGCTGAGCCAGCATCCAAACAGCTGCACTCGTTGAGGGTGTAGGGTTTAGGGTATCCATATGGCTGCATGGACTCCTTTTTTGGGGGGGTCCCTGCCCTTGTACTTTGAATACCCAATACAAGGCATTACTTGGAGAACTGGCCGACAAGGGCTTGGGGTGCAGGGGTTAAGCTTGTCCCGCGCATGACATCACAGTCATGACTGACCATCGGCGCCGCCACGCCTGAGCTAAAACCCCTGGACACGAAATCCTATGTGCCCTAAACACCCTGAACCACAAAACCTCCTAAGCCCTGAAGCCTAAATCCCTATATCCTGAACCCTAAACCCGAAACCCTACCCTCTAAACCCGAAACCCTGAATCCCTTCTCTGGCCTCAGCCGCCCGGATGGCCAGCAGCGCAGTGGCGCCTGTACCTGGTGGATGCAAAGAGTTTAGGGCTTAGGGCTGAGAGGGCTTTAGGGTTTAGGGTTTTAGGCTTTGGCATCAGGTTTAGAGGTTCATTGCTTGCGGGGGTTTGGGGCTGCTGATGGTCAGTTCTGACATGAGGTGTGTCTATCTTGGCTTTCCTCGATGAACGAAGCAGCTGAATAGAGCCCTCGCAGGGGCTAGCACGCCCCACACCCTACACCCGAGACTCCAAACCCTGAAATTCCTAAACCCCCAAACCCAAACTCCATACACCCTAGACCAAAAAAATCAAGTCCACAAATACTCAATGTTCTTCAAGCATAAGCCCCCAAAAAAACCTGTTAAAGGCCCCAGGGAGCCCAAGTCCAGAACCAGGCGGTCTGGGCAAAGTGTGTCAATGGCCTGCAGCTCCACAGTTCAAGGCTTCAGGGCTTTCGGGTTCAGGGTTTAAAAGGGTTTAGAGAGTTTAAGAATTCGTGCGGTTAACTTGCAATTCTATTATTAAATTCATTCACGCCGTTCACTTCGTTCACCTGTAATAGTATATTAAAAGTATACGCGCGTGGAAAGATCATTGATGCGCGTAGTTCTGCACGAAATACGAAATAATGCACTCACTTCGCTCGTTTATAATTCTATTTCGTTCATACGTTCACACTTTATTTTCGTGGTCTTCACGCGTCACTGATTAATTCGTTCCTTGTAAGCCCATTAAAATATAGTGTGCTCTTCGTATTATCATGGCTCCAGATGAACGGTACCTTCGGCGTGCTTGGGGTCTTGACCTAGATTTCGGAGCTAGAACCCACTAGTGTGCAAAGTCTTGGGGGTCACGGTTACACCTAGCGGTTCCCTGCACAAGCCTGGAGACGCTAAACCCCGTGGCGGCCTTGTAGAAGGCGGTGGTGCGACTCGCGTCACACTTCATCGCCTCATAGTCGGCAGCTGAGAACCTCAGCTGTCCACTGAACCTCGAACCCAAACTTTAGGTTTCGAAAGAGTTCAGGGTTCAGGGTCTTAGGGTTTAGGGTTTTTAAAGGGTTTCTGTAGAGGGCTTAGGGTTGCGGGCTTACCCAGAGCAATGAGCAGCTGGGTTCCCTGGCAACGCTAGCTTCTTTGGTAGGGATTTTGGGGTTTAGGGGTTTGCAGAAAAGGGTCCCACGAAAACCCCTGAACCCTGAACCCTAATTTTAGGGGGCACCTTGGGAGTAGAGTGTGGGGACCAACCCACTTCCCTCACGTCCATTGAAGTTCAGCGAAGTACGGGCATCTTGCAAGAGTAAGTGGAAAGACAAACGAAAGTTAAAGAACCTCCTCAAAGAGTATTCGCAGGGCCAAAGCGGCCGACAGTTTGATAGTTCTGCTGCGTCGGCATTCCCGGATCAGTTCAACGCCGCACAACTGTTGTGATGTACCTGGAGATTTAGGGTTTAGGGTTTGGGGACAATAATACAAGGGGATAACTATGGGTAATGAGTTCGGCTCCTGTATTCAACCCATGTTCAATTCTGACGCAAAGCCCTAAACCCTTAGCCCTTGAACCCCTGCACCCTGAAGCCTTTTGTTTGACTGCAAGTGGCACAGCAAAGCAGAGGATCGATGGCGCCGCCAAGCACAGCGCGAAGCTGAGCTTCGTCGCGTCCTGCTTGGAACCACCAAGGGCCCCAATGTCGGGGGTTGCCATGAGTATTTTGGGGTATATAGGGACGAGAGTTTGGGAAACTGGCTTTAGGAATGATATAGGGGTGAGCTTGGGGAATAATGATACGGTTGAGGGTTGATGGGGTTCAACCCTGCACCCCCCCCCCCCCCCCCCCCCCCACCCATCCACCACCCCCCCCCCAACCCCACAAAGCTCCAGACGTTGACCCTTGAACAATGGCCCTACACCAGTTCTCCTGCGGGGTCGGCGGCTTGAGCCCAATTCTTGAATGGTTTAATGGTTTAGGGCCAGATGCCTATGGGCTTGAGGGTGACAGGGCTGTAGGGTTGCCCCGCTCAGGAGGAGTGTAGGTCGCAAGGAGTTATTTTCTGACGTCCCTTGCAGAGGCTTCGGGCTTCGGGTTTCGGGGCTTTGGGCTTAGGAATCCGTCCCTGCCTCCTCTGAGCAACCCCGCGACAAGACGAGACCGGTTGTCCAAGAAAGCACCATGCCCCGGTTAACCCCGAGATCTCCCCAAAGCCTCAAAGGAGCACAAGCGGAAAAAGATGTTTCTCCGCACTTTTTAGGGAGGAAACGTGTTCCCCATAGATGGCAGTACCATCCACTACCCTATATAGGCCCTAAGGCCCTAAGGCCCTAAACTTGCGGGGCAGAATCAACTCCGCGGGGAGGGGGAGGTGGGGTCCATGCCGATTCCAGCGCCGTGCCGCCGATGCCTCGTCAGGCGACACTTAGACCCTAAAGTCAAAAACTCCAAGCCAGATCTCGGAATTCCAAACCCCAAAGCCCAAACCCAAAACCCTAGGACGAGGACCACCCAAACCTCAGTTCAACTTCTGGCTGTTGGAAGGCTGGGCAGCTCGGTCTCGGGATGCACGTCTGATTTAGGGTTCAACTTGCACTCCACAAGACCATTGGCTTTTAGAGCCCCGAATTTTATGAGAAGTTCCCTCAAGCCCTGAAGCTGCAGCTGTAAGTCGGGGGGAGTCTAGGGTAGGCTTTGAGGTTGAGAGGGCTCGGATAAGTCAGGCTGGTAAAGGGTGCAGGGTGCCCCTGGAGTCGTGAACATGGGTCGCGGGCTAAGGGTTTAGTTTGGGGATTTGGGGGTTTAGTGTCTAAACCCGTAAAGAAACCCTAAACCCTCTGTAGGAAGGGCAGTTGCAGCAGCCCTCCTAGACCCGAGACTCTAGATTTTCGATGGATTGTTGCATTGAGGGGTGTACGGATTCAAGGGCAACTTACCCTAAGCAACCCTATAAACCCCCGAAGCATCGCGCCTTATAGCCGGCGGCGGCTCGGTGCTGTCCACACATGAGGGGGGGGGGCTCGTCTACATCATTGCCCCTTTGTATTGGACTTTTTCAATTGTGACCCTGCTGTATGATTGCAAGGAGCGGATTGTCCTGGAGACACAAAAAAAAGTCCACAACTTGGATCAACCCCCCATTGGATGCTTCACAAGGTCGCGAGGCAAGGAGTTAAAAACAGCTACTCCAGTTGCTGCAAGGTTCCAACGGTTTCAACCCTGCAAACCCCACACCCTAGACCCTACACCCTAAATCGCAAACCCATGCAAAGCCCCATAATGAACTTCATGCCGGAACTGTGAGCTCTAATGGCCGTTGAGGATGCATGCTTACTTGGTTTCCAGGCTGTGGGGTTTGTAGGCTTTCAAATTTTTCAGGATGTGAGCCTAAAGCCCACAACCCATTCACCATTCGGGCTTGAGGGTGCTACCCCAAACCCTAAACCCGAGCCGCGGCGGGCACTTTTTGCGCGTGCGCCACCGTCAGCGCGAAAGTGGGTTTTACAGAAACACCAGCCTACAGAACATCTTGTCCGAGCAGTTGCCCTTGCTTTCAAACTCCTAAACCTCAAAACCCCTGAATTCAATAACTATCCAAGTGAGTCTTCCTACTGATATCCCACAGGGATTTCTATAGTGCGTTGAGGACGGGTCAAGTCCTTCTGCAAACGGCCCACCTGCCCGGACCAGATGTTCAAAACCGAATGTCTGCGAACAACGCTGTGGCTGTGCCTCCTCGCTGGTTTGTTGGGACCTGTCCTGCCCCCCAAAGCGAGCTCAAGGCCTTGAAAGTGTAGAGCGCATTAGAGCGCCTAGGGTTAAGGACATGGGCTTTTGAAGCCCGATACTTGCACTCTATAGCGCCCCGTTAGGCTCCAGAACAAAATCAGAAGAGGGGAAACGCAAAGAACCCTCATGTATACATGTTGCATTCAACGCATGTCCCTTTTTCGGGCCCCTAAAACCAATAGCCTCAGACCCTTAAACCTGAAGCGCATAACGCCCTTACAGACTTTAAGCCCATAACGCAGGCTTCAAGGCCCCAGCAGTCTCGAATCCGAAGGTCCTACACGATTCTTGTTGGGGGGGGGGGGGAAGAAACAAAAGAACTTCCACTAATCCCGGTACCCTAAAGCCTAAAGCCTAAACCCTATAAACCCTAAACCGGGGGTCTGCTGGTCTTCGTCTCGGGCATGGGAAAGGCAGTACTAGAGGGGCCAGGGGATTCGGGGTTAACCAGGGGGTTTTTCGGGGCTGACCGGAAGATAACAAACGGATAGCTTTTGATTCGGCTGGGCATTTTGAGGCTATTTCAGATGATAGCTGGATAGGGATTTTTCGGGAATCATGTTGGGAATTACTTGGCCCCTGTTTGCCCCTCTTTTACTCTGTAACCAAGAAAACCAGAGGATACCCGTTGATTTTGGTTTAGGGAGGAACGCTGGGGTGGGGGAATACGTATGTGGAGTAGTTCCTACGAAGCACTCACACCCTCAACCCCTAATTCCCAAAACCATAAGCCCTGAAACCCCTACCTAAAGTTCTAAAGCCCCAGAAGCCCCAGAAAGCCAAAACACTGCCAAAACCTTGGACTTCCATGAAGCCCTAGAACCCCGGCAAACACCGTAAAAACCACAAAACAAAAACGCTAAAACCGTAACCTTTAACAAACCAAAACAACTAAAAACCTAAAACCCCAACAAAACCCTAAAAGCCCCAAAGCCACCCCCCCCCCCCCCCCCCCCCCCGCACCCCACCCCCCGCGACCCACCCTGCCCCCGCAACAAAAAAGCACAAACCACAAACACTCAAAGCCCTAAAGCCCCCTAAACAAACCCTAAACCCTAAACCCTACACCCTAAACCCTACACCCTGAACCCTGAACCCTAAACCCGAAACCCTAAACCCTGCAACTCGCCCAGGCAAGCTGACACATCCATGCTGGAAGCGGCTCTGTACAGTGCCTCTTGGCTCCTGGAAACGAGCGCTGAGCCCCACAGTCCCAAGACCAACGAAGCCTTCAACTCCCTAGGTTTAGGGTTTAGGGTTTAGGGTTTAGGGTTTAGGGTTTAGGGTTTAGGGTTTAGGGTTTAGGGTTTAGAGTTTAGGGTTTAGGGTTGAAGGTTGAGGGTTTAGGGTTGGGTAGACTACACACCCTACATTCCCTACATTCCCCAAATTCACTAAGTTCCCTACATCCCTAGATCCCTGAATCCCGATAAAACTCTATATCCCTAGCCCCTCAGAACCCCAAGAACTGGGGCTGAGAGGTGTTCAGGGCTTGCGATTGTTACAGTACATCCGGATACGGCTTCTTTAGATGTGGAAGCTTTATGACGCTTTAGAACCAAGCCCCTATACACCTTTATAAACGGCCCACAAGCCGAAACCCCCAGCTACGTCGCCCCGGCGACTTTGGTACGATGCGCTGCATGGCAACAAGAGGCTCAATACTTCGCACGGGGGCGAATTCAAGAGAAAGGCGCCAAGCCGCACAAGAACACATTGAGTAGTAGGGTTTAGGGCTAAACCCCATAAGCCGCAGCTGGGTCAACATAGGGTTTTGGGTTGAGGGCTGAGGGCCCGAAATGCTCTTACCCAAATTACTACTAGGAACCCCCCCCACAAAAATGGCATTCACTTTAGGAAACCCCAGATTCTAAACAGCACAAAGCCGTTGTCTGCGCGAGCTGCGAAAACTGGGGTTGGGGGGTGGGTCCCTTTCAAGGGGCCGGTTCTTTTTTTCGAGGTGTCCTACTATATTTGAAAGTTCGGAGGTTGTAGGTGTAGGGTACATCTAGGGTTTGAGGGCACAGAGTTGAAGCGGGTTGGGGCACAGGGTTTAAGGCCTTAGGAATTCAAGCCCTCTACAGCAAATTCCAATACGAAACCTTCAGCCTGTATTGGCCTTCGACCCTAAATGGGGTGTTTTGCCTTGGGCTTAGTTAGGGCTTACAGATTTTCATTTCGGGTTTCACATTGCTCGCTCCTCAGAAGGAATTAGGCAATTAGGTGCCTTTTAGTCCCCGATCTAGCTTTAAGGGATTCTAAACCTATCCGAATGTTTCTGGCTAGTACGCTGAGCTATGTTCTACCCATTTTTGTTGCCCGGACCCCCCGGCAACCGGGCCCGATACTACAGAACTGCTTGCTGCTTGCTGCATAGAACCCCTCAATGCTCAAGAGCATTTCACCGCCAGACCCGTTTCCTGGGGGGGGGGGGTTAAAACCCTAAACCCTAGAAACCCTAGGGAGTACTGGGTGCAGGGACCACTTCAAGGACTCTCCAGGATTACGCCTTTCCTCGCCGGATTTCTGAGAATACTGCAGTCCCTCCCAAGAAGGGACCCAGAGTCGGGGTCGTTTGGGCAACAAGGCCCCAGGAAACGCTACAGTTGTTAAGCTAAGTGGGCGCCTCGCTTGCAAAGTGCCCGGGATGTAGGGGTCCATGTGCGCTGTGTTCCTGAAGGCTTCTCGGAGGTTGAGGCTCTGGGATTCGTCTCGCGCCCTGCATTTTCGAGGCAGCACTGAAAATGAACGGATTGACGGAAGGATCGCGTCGCGCAGTTGCCCGGAACCCTCCCGGAAGTTGGCACACGGCAGCCCTTGATTCATACAGTATGGATGCGCATTTAAAAGCGCCACTGCAATGTCGCGATGGTTGCAACAACATCATACATACCCTGCATTTCCGAACCCTATAAGTCTGAACCCCTTCCCCCGAACGCGGAGTGCACGCTGGGCAGCTGCGCTGGCAATATCACCAACCTTCCAAAGCTTGGAAGCAGAAGCCTGGGACACGCCTCCCAGTCCCCTAGTCTAAGCTTTTGGGTTTCGGGTGTAGTGGGTGTAACAAAGGAAGGGTTGAGATACAATCTACACTTTCTGATTCTCGGTCGTGCCCAAACATTGCGAACTTGACTTGCGGTTCTTAGCAGGGAACTCACCGCGTATCCCCTCCCCCACTTCCGAACCCTTTAAGATGTTTTTGAGGGACCCTCCCAACCGCTAAACCCCAAACCCTGCACAGCCTGTAAGCCCCCCAAATGAGTCCCTAAATCCCAAGCCCGCCCCAACTGCTTTTAATCACCTCACCCCCTGCGTGCTGCGGACCCCAGGCCCTGCATTGTATACACAGCAGGAAGCACGGTCAAATGCATGGTTGGGTTCAGGGTATTTAGGTGCCGGTTTGGGTTTAGGTGAGGGTTCGGAGTCTCCCTCCCAAGACATAAGCATAAGCCCACCATGCCCTAAGAAACAATCTTCATCTATCAGAGCATTCTTTCATTTCAAAACAGTGTTCGGGGAAAGGCTGGACTGTGAGTGGTAGTCCACGAGTTCCTTCTTTCGGGGCCTTGGGCTTGAGGTTCCGGGGCTGTGAG